CAGTCTCAAACGCAGTCCATTTTGAACGATCTTAGCCCGCTTAGTGACTGAAGCCTGAGCAGTTGCGTTCTGTAAAGGTTGATTAGAAAGGACATCTTGCTTCTTGATTTTGGGTGATGAATCTTTCCAACCAAGTGCTAATAGGGATTGTGTGCGGTTCCCTCTCATTTGTTCTTAGCAGAGGACATGCATTCCAAGCCCATTGGATTTAAGAATTTGTTGATTCATCTTAAAAGTCTTTCTCTTTTTTGTGTCCTCTCTTTTTCTGCAGGATGTTTTCACTCCAGAATGCAAATTTAAGGAATCTGTGTTTGAAAACTACTATGTGATCTATTCTTCCACACTGTACCGTCAGCAAGAATCAGGCCGAGCATGGTTTCTGGGACTCAATAAAGAAGGTCAAATTATGAAGGGGAACAGAGTGAAGAAAACCAAGCCCTCATCACATTTTGTACCAAAACCTATTGAAGGTATAGAACCAATGTTTTCTCTTCTTTGTGTTCTGATCTGGATATTGATGCCAATTCTACTCTTTGTCTTTTTACTTAGTAGGATTTGCCTGGAATGCTTTGTGCATGCTCCTACCTATAACTCATTTTGTTCAAGGTCAGAATTCAAGTCAGGATTCCATTTCCATGATTCTGTTCTCAGTCAGAACAAAGATTCAGAAAACACAATAGTACTTCTTCCTACCAAAATATAAGAAAATCCTATTATTAATTCTTGGCACTTACCAAAAAAAAAAAAAAAAAGTGTTTGAATCTAAAACCAAACCAAAACCAAACCCGTTGCCATGGAATCAATTCCAACTCATAGGGACCATATAGAACAGAGTAGAACTGTCCCATAGGGTTTCCAAGGAGCGGCTGATGGATTTGAACTGCCTGTCTTTTGGTTAGCAGCCAAGGTTTTAACCACTGTGCCACCAAGGCTGTATGCTTGAATACAGAGGCTAGAAATTCCTGAAAGTGAAAAAATAGTAATAGTTACCATTTAGAATGTAATTTCCTTCTTTGTTGAACAGAATGATTTAATTTCTCAGGTTACATCCTTGATAATAATTATTACTGTTAGTACTGTTAGAAGCATGTTCATATCCTAATCTCTTTGTCTTCATGAACAAATCTAACAATATAATGTATTAATTTTCTTTGTAGTTTTTAAGGAAAAAAACAGTATGCTGTTTTCTGTGATCAATTAATATTTACAGAATTAAATTTTTCCTTCTTATTTGAGCCTAAAACCTCCTTCTCCTTTTGTCATTTAAAAATAAAGTGTTTACTTATTTCTAATTTCCCAGTGGAATAAATAAGTTTATGCCGAGGAAATCTATTTCTGGCGACTGGGACGCGTTTCCTTGAAAGTCTGTTAACTAAGATGAGAATATACCATTGAGGTGATCCCATTTACTATATTTAGTTAAGATTTTTAATCTAGACTAAGAAAGTGTTATACCAGAAAAACCAACACGTTGCTGTCTAGTTGATTCCGACTCATAGTGACCCTATAGGACAGAGTAGAACTGCCCCATAGGGTTTCTAAGGAGCGGTTGGTGGATTCACACTGTGGACCTTTAGGTTAGCAGCTGAGCTCTTCACCACTGTGCCACCAGGGCTCCAGGAACGCAGTAATGGTCTGGAAATTTACCACCATAACATTATTTTCCTCTAAAAATCACATTCTAATCATTTAAAACATAGCTCGACTTCCTTGTCTGAGGAAATGAGAAAACTGAGGCAGTGCCTTGTGCCTCTGTGACTGAGCCAGGCTTGCTGCCCCCGACATACCTCACAAGGTATGGTCAGGGCAACCAATCCAGGAAGACACAGCCTGTCAACAATACCTACAACTCCAACAGTCAGCACTGGGGGAATGTGACATTCGGAGCCCCTTGTCCCTCTCCAGGAGGACCCTTTTAGCCACACAGAATTGAACTTTCCTTTCCTACCACCCATTTCCACTATTTTGGGCCCCATGTTGTTTTTTCTGCCCATCTCCATCCCTCTCCCAATTTACATTTACTTGTCCTCCTGGAAAATGCCTATTAATCTTTATTAAAAATTAATTTAAGAGCCAATACTTCTGTGAGAGCCTCCTTGTCTTTCTTTAAGTAGAATTAATTATTCTGTCACCTCATCATTGTATACATCTCCCTCATAGTAATGATCACATTGTAAGATATTTTCCTATTCGCCACTGTCCCCTCTTAGGCATGGTTAGCTCACTCTTTGAATGAAGAGAACACGTATTACTTTTCCCCATATCTTTCTGTGTATTGCACAATATCTGGCATAAGACAGAGAGATATTCAATAACCAGTTGTCAGTTAGTAATTAGACATATGAATGATCAAATTAATGAATAGATAAGTATAAAGGCAAAGCATAACTACATGCTCCAGAGAACTTTATGCTATACTTGCAAATATAAAACATATTTACTCATAGCAGTAGTAAAAACTAGAAAGTAATATATTACTCATTGCAGGAAATGATATTGAGATTTAGGAAAGGAGCTATCACTTCCAGCAAAAGGGAGAAATCTGATATCTACACGTGCCGTCAGGGTGAGGCCAGGTTCAGTTCAGACAATTTGAGACGAAGTGGGAATTGGACAGAGAAAAACATTCCAGGTGCAGTGTGCATCAGGCAGAAAAGTGCCTGCTTCGTAGAGTTATTCAGAGGGCACCTAAGAAGGAGTAGATATTTTCCATGAGAAAATGTGTTGACACCCAAAACTCAAAAGTAATGTTTTGAGTTTTTGTGCTTTCAACCATTGCATCATTTTTATTTGGGCATTTAAGTTGATTAACTTTTTTTTTGCTGTTATTATAAAAGTAGTACATCCTCATTAACAGGTTTTAGAAAATTTAGAATACATTTTATAAAAATACAGAGAGAAATGCTGATAGCCTACCCTCAATGAGATGGGTTGACACAGTGGCTACAACAATGGGTTCAAACCTAACAACGATTGTGAGGATGGTGCAGGACCGGGCAGTGTTTCGTTCTGTTGTACACAGGGTTGCTACTAGTTGGAACCAACTTGACGGCATGTAACAACAACAACACCCTCATAGTCATAACTGCTATCTGCACTTTAGTTAGTCAGGTTTCCCCTTGGGTCTGGATGACCATCTACACATTTCCAAGAGAAATGTATACAGTGACCATGTTCCTAGCTCTAGAGTTGCCTTACTTTTATAGTTATTTCTGTATTTCAGTAGAGAACGAGCAAACTATATTCCTAGCTGTTTAAGTTAGAATTAGGTTGGGCTGTGTGTAACACAAAACCTGAGTGAAAAGCAGTTTAATCATACAAGGTTTTATTCTCTCACATAACGAATCTAAAGACCAGCTGTCCAGCTCTGGTGCTGTGGCTTCCCAGCTGTTAGGGACCTTGGCTACATCCAGCTTTTAGAGCCTCTCTAGTGTGTTGCCATGACCCATTTACAACTGTGCACTGTACATCCTGCATAACCCTGCACATGGCCTTGGATGTCTCCCCATCATGGTCTAAGCCAGCATCCGTATTCCAGTTAGAGGGCAGAGGAAAGGATAAGGAAGACGGAGACAAAATCCTGGGACAGTTTTCTCTTCAGGATGGTCCCCGGTAGCTGTCATAACATAATTTATTTACATCCCATTGCCCACAAGCCAGTCGTATGGTCAGACCTAGGTGCAGGGAAGACTATGAAATGTAGTGTTTTTTAAGCATGGCTACATGCCAAATAGGCCATCTAGAAGGCACAAATGTTTAAGTGCCTGGCTGCTAACCAAAAGGTTGGCAGTTTGAGTTCATCCACAGGTAACTCAAAAGAAAGACCTGGTAATCTGCTTCTGAAAGGGCACAGGCATTGAAAACCCTATGGAGCACAGTTCTACAGAGCACACATGGGGTTGCGTTGAGTTAGAATCAACTTGAACTGTTTTTGTTTGTTTTTGTTTTACAGACCAAATAAACTGAAACCAAACCCATTGCCATGGAGTCAATTTCAACTCATGGCAAACCCATGCATATCAGAGTAGAACTGTGCTCCACGGGGCTTTCAGTGGCTATAATCTTATGGAAGTAGATTGCCAGGACTTTCTTTCACCATGCCACTGGGTGAATTCAAACCATGAACCTTTCGATTAGTAGCCAAGTGCTTAATTGTTTACACCACCCAAGGACCTTCATACCAAATAAATGTTTAATTATTTAGGGGGAATAGCCAAATGGGTATTTGGGACAACTAACAGCCTCTGGTTCATCTTTCCATCATCTTAACACTGGAATATCTCTGATTTCCCGATTGACACCTTTTGATTGATTGTTTTGTTTTTGTTCATTATTTACTGATGCCTTGAAATGATTTTCTGTTGTTGTTTTAGGAGAAAAAAAAAGTCCAGTCTAAATCTGACTCGCTAAATAAAGGCTCTTTGTCTTTTTAGTTTGTGGGGAAAGAAAATTAGATGTGAAATATGTAGAATATGATGAGAATAGCTTCCAAAGATGAAAACAAGAAGTTAATTGGTTTCAATCTAAAGGCCTCTTAATCTCTTATAAATATCTTTGCCTTTTGTCTTAGGCATTATTTTCTGAACGGTATAAGCTACAGTTTTATAAATACTTACTTTACAGGTACTGTTCTAAAACAAAAACCAAACCCATTGCCGTTGAGTCAATTCCGACTCAGAAACTCTATAGGACAGAGTAGAACTACCCTGTAGGACTTCCAAGGAGCGGCTGGTAGATTCAAACTGTCGACCTTTGGGTTAGCAGCCGTAGTTCTTAAGCACTGTGCCACCAGGGCTTCGAGTTATTCTGAAGGTTACCATTATTATCAAAGATAGGCACATCTGAGGTTGTGCTAGATGTTATTCTACTATGCAGTGACAACTTCTTCCTCCCTGCTAGGATCCCAACATTACTCTTGCTACCAATATTATTACTAGTCTTACTAATTCGATACACAATTTATCAACTTACCATTTGCCAGGCACATTACATACATTATGTCAGTTAAACCTTATAACAGCCCTATGTTCTTATCCTCATTTTATAGACAAGGAAACTAATATTTAAAGTCATCAAGAAACCTGTCCAAGATCACCCAACCAGCCAACCAGTCCCTTTGCTATCAAGTCGATTCCGACTCATAGCAGCCCTGTAGGACAGAGTAGACTGCTCCATAGGGTTTCCAAGGAGCAGCTTGTGGATTCGAACTGCTGACCTTTCGGTTAGCAGCCAAATGCTTAACCACTGCACCACCAGGGCCCCATCCAAGATCACAGGGCTAGATAAATTCAGAACTGTGATTGCAAACCAGGAAGCCTAATACCAATGCCTGTGCACCTAACCCCTGCACTACACTGCCCTTCAATCTGAGGTAAGCTCATGGATATGAAAATATTCAGAAAAGACAGTGATTGCAAAGCAGAAATGCTATAACAGGATACGACTTGAGTAGTACACAAGTCCTAAACTA